TTAATCATTTTCAGAGTGTACTTTAATTTAGTTCTGTTTTCCTTATCCATTTGTCTATTTTCTGTATAATAATTAATCATTTTCAGAGTGTACTTTAATTTTGTTCTGTTTTCTTTATCCATTTTCTGTATAATAATTAATCATTTTCAGAGTGTACTTTAATTTTGTTCTGTTTTCCTTATCCATTTGTCTATTTTCTGTATAATTATTAATCATTTTCAGATCGTACTTTAATTTTGTTTCCTAAAAAATATTAAGTTTAAAAAATTTTCCACAATGGTTGTATTAATCACCTATTTGCAAGTTTCCTACTCACACTCTGATGACATTTTTAGAAAATGATGAATGCTTCTGGAAAAGTAAAATGATGATGTCGCTGTGTAGTTTTATAATTTGTATTAAAATAAACAAAACAAATAAACACAGATGCTACAGAGAAGAAAATCACTAACTACTGAATGTAGAGAAGAAATGAACTACTTGTTCTCAGTCTACTCCAACAGCAGCAGTATTGTGTCAGTATCTGCTGCCAGGAGTACCCCTTCCCCTGCCCAGAAAAGAGCCAGTCATTCCTACCAGGGTTCCCAATAATGGATGGCGAACAACTTGTGGGACTAGACCCACTCCACCAGGTATCATACCTTGCCCTCTTGTAAAAGACATTGGATTCTGACCCATCATAATCTGGCTTACTGCACTTCCTGATGACAAACCACCCATTAGAGGAGGTTGGTTAGTTATCAAAGATGATTGGTTACCCACTACAGATGACACATTACCCATCAAAGATGACTGATTACCCACCAGTGATGTGGGGTTACTTACTAAAGTAGACTGGTTCCTCATCAAGGCTGATTGGTTAGCAGACACATTTGACTGGGTTACAGAATTTTGCAATGACTGTTTTAGAGTCTGTTGCTGGGTGTATGTATTAGCTACAGCAGTAGTGTTTGTTGTAGGAATGGAAGTTCCCATTAGTGTTTTGGAAAGGTCAGGACTGGTTTGTATGAAATTCTCTACTGCTTTCTGTAAATTGGGGTTATCAAGTTTTAAGTTCGAGGGTGGCTGATTTGCAGATGAAGAGGATATTCCTCTGTTGGAGAAGCCTGCATCTACACTCCCTTGGTTGATCATGTTCAAGATTCTCTTTTGAAGTTCTTTTTGCTGTTGTTCCATTGTTATTGGTTGTGACTGTTCTCCTGGAATACCAAGAATGCAAAACTATTATTATATTTCAATTGTGAAAAGTTTCATGACTATTATAAAAAAAATGTAGGTTTGTACTACTGACAGCTCTTTCACAAATAGTAAATGGTATTTGGATATAATTATGGAATTCAAAACCAGGCAATTAGTCTCTCAATAGCCATCTAATTCACCTAATTGGTCCTTTGGGTTTTAATTGGGTAGCAAACATTTTACAAGTGGTTAAGAGTTAATTTAACAAACTGTTTAGTTTTATAAATTATACTTACCTATTACAATTTTAAAGAAGATAAATGAATAATACATAAGCAGTTCTTAGTTTTACCTAATTTATCCACATAACTTTAACTTCAGTTAGGATATTAATTAAATTAACAAAATGGCATGCTCTGAAGTTTTTACAACATAAAAGTCAATTCTGTCAAGAAAAAAAAAGTTACCAAACTGTGAAATTAGAAAATGTTGCTTTCCTATCTTTTTGAATATATCATTTATGTGGGTGAGTATGAAGTTAAAATTTGCACGTATGTGTGTGTATATATATATATATGTGTGTAATAATAAAATATCTACATAAGCTTGTGATCGAACTTACATGTTTATATCGTATTAAAAGAAAACATCTGGAGATTTAAAAAATATATGATTTTCATTCTCATGAATCAATCAGACCAAAATAAATAAATCTATTTACAAGTAATTATTATTATTATTGTAGCCCAACTCAAAACTTTTAAGGTTGAAATTCGTAAGCCAAAATTGAAAATAAAAAAAGCCATTTTTCATGAGGGTCTATGAACGTCAAGTGGACCTACTTCCATTATACTTAACAGGATGGTACACACAGACCAACATATAATGTCTGAGTATGTTGTTACACTTTACAGTTGTATTTATTTTTGATATTTGTGATTCATTCCTAAAAGTATACATAAAAGTGTATCTCAAAATGTTTTTCCTATTATAAATATGTTACTATAGCTTGTATGGCTTATATGCATCCTTGAATATGGTTCCTAAGTTTAACTTAACATTGGATCAGTGGGACTCAAATCATTACCTTCAAAGGAAAATGTAAAGTTTACCATATAAAACTGAACTTTTTCATTACATGAGCTATAACATTCCATTGTACAAAACAATAAGATAAACCTATATGAAATTTGAATTTAAAAATGTAAATCCACTTATTATGAAAGCTTACCATGTAATTTGATGGGAGGTTCAGGTTTGATCTCACCAGTTCTTTGTAACTTTCCCAACTCAATTTCTGCAAGTTTATCTTTACGATCCTGTATATACTTCATAATTTTATCAAGCTCACGCATAGTTAAATGTTTCCCATCAGCCAAGAGATTCAGAAGGAAGCCAATATCTCGATCTGGGGGTGTAGGAGACCTACGTGTAAGAACCTGTGGCTCTTTCTTTTCGGTCTTTTGATTCAAGAAACGCAATGACAGAGTATATTCATGAAAGTTGCGAGCTACTAATTTCAGAGCATCATCAAGAGGCATGTTGTGATGTTCTATGAAAAAAAAATTAGCATTTTTAAGTATACATTGCATATTGAACAATTTTTATCTACTAGAAAACCAACAACAAAGACATCACACAAAATCCATTGATGAAATGAAGGTAAAAATGTATATATTTATGGCATAATGCACTATGCCTGTGGCAGGTAGGACATATACAATTATCTTTAAAGTATACTCTTCAGTACTAAGTATTTAGAAGCAATAAGAGAATAATATAAAGCTCAAACCCAAGTGATCATGTTAAACCTTTGTTAAAAAAACAATATAAAAGATACTGTATTCAGCATTAACAAACAAATTATATTATACTTCAGCTTTTAAGTATTCATGTAACTCTACAAAGTACTTCTCTATACCTACAATTGAACACTCAGTGTACCTTTGACAAATAATACAGTTTAATAAAAACAAAATAAGTATTCATATTACTACCCACAAATGATTAATCTGCCCACATAAGAAGAAAAACTTGTGTATGTGGACAGAACACTTGAACTGATAAAATAATTACAAAGAAAATACATGGATGTTATCAAATAAATATTAAACACCTTAAAACAATACAAAATTAAACATTTTTATAAAGTTTAAAAAACAATAATCACAAAACAAAAACATTAAGAGAAACAAATCTTCAAAATTTTAGTCTCTCAGATTTCACTAACCATTTACTAATTTTCTTTTTATAGTGCTGATAATTCATTAATTTTCTATGTCATTATATATCACATTATATAATGTTGGTACTCTATAGTAGGATTTTTTTCATTATTATGTTTTGTTTAAATAAATTTAAGTACATATTATGTTCTATTTTTTAATATATTCTTAAATAACAATAATATCTAATGTTTAATATTTAATTGCTGTATACCTAATGCTTCAAACAACAAATCAATGTATTTTGTATTATATTTTTAAATGCTATTTTAATAATCACGTTTTATAAAATCAACAAATCTTGAATGATTTATATATGCACCTTTCCAGCCTACTGAACTAGTAACTTACTGTTTGTAAAGTATTTTTTAAAAAGCATATACATTTATCAAACCTTAGTTTATTACACAATAATGGAATATATTGTTCCCATTTTACATTATAATGAAATTTTTAACTAATTCTGTTCTAATGAATGACAAGAAATAAAATGTGCACATTTTACATCACTGGTAGTGTCAAAAAAGTATGTACATTTAACATCAGTGTTAGTGTCAAAAAAGTATGCACATTTAACATCAGTGTTAGTGTCAAAAAAGTATGCACATTTTACATCAGTGGTAGTGTCAAAAAAGTATGCACATTTTACATCACTGGTAGTGTCAAAAGTATGCACATTTTACATCACTGATAGAGTCAAAAAGTATGCACATTTTACATCAATACTTTTTGACGCTACCATTGATCTAAAATGTGCATACTTTTTGACACTACCAGTGATGTAAAATGTGCATACTATTTGACACTACCAGTGATGTAAAATGTGCATACTTTTTGACACTACCAGTGATGTAAAATGTGCATACTTTTTGACACTACCAGTGATGTAAAATGTGCATACTTTTTGACACTACCAGACACATTTTACATCACCGGTAGTGTCAAAAAAGTATGCACATTTTACATCACTGGTAGTGTCAAAAAGCAATGAAAAAGGCCACAATTTCTGAATGTAATATTCTATTCAAAAATTTCATGGCCTTACCTGAAGCATACAAAAAAAACAACAAATACTGATTAGTACAACTGCCTTAAGTAGAATTAGGACACCTGTCCTCAATTTTCAATGTTTTTTTATTTTAACAAACAGCCTTAAATAACGAGTTGTGGAAATTTCTTACTTTTTAAAAGTATTTATTTGAATAAAAAACTAAATTGAGTTTCAAACCTGTTTTTAGATCCCTACTAACAAATTAGAAATCCTTTTATTCTATCAAAATAGTATGGTACCACATAACATATTAAAAATTTATATTAAGTTAAACCTAAACCTTTAGTCGTGACTAAAAGAAACTTCATCTTTGATATTTTTAACAACACTTAAATGTTTTATTTTGGATAATTTAAGTATGAAAATAATTGTAAATACAAAAATTTTTAGTAAAAAAAAAATCCATTTCAAATTCCTGTTTTCAATATTAAAAATTTTAAATGTTAACTTTAGATATAATTTTGAATTATTTCTGATCACTTTCAACTAAAAAAAAAGACCAATCAGTTCTCAAATGTTTCTTAACTTACATGTGTTACTAAACTGTATTTTAGAATATCAGTTTTGTTGTTAAATCGCACTTGAGATATTTGAAATGCATCAACTGACCAGTACTACTGTATATTCCCACTGCACACATGTATAATAAACTCATGAGATAGCATGTAAGCTTTCAATGTAATTGTGTTGCTTTTAAAACTGATACTTCCTCATCAATATACACAAAAAATAACAGTAATACAAAATGTTTTTAGTATAAAACAACAAAAAAAAAGACTAAACATAATCAAGTTTGATTATAACCAGACGCTTAGCACACTTTCACAAAAACACGGAACCATAACAGACCACAAGTATCCAAATTTACCAAACACAGAGAACTCACTTCAACACCTTACAAAGTTATCAGACACAAACCAATAAACAAAAATTAAATAATGAGTGAAAAATTGCATTTAAAGTGTTAAAAATACACAAAACAAAATTACAATAAAGGAAATGTACCTAAAAAAACACTAAATTGTAATTAAATAAACATTTATAGAATCTTTAAAAACCAGAGACATTTTCTAGAGAAATCAATAAACATAATCTAAGGATTACTGAATGAACTTTGATGTCAAAAACAGATTCTCCTGCATTCCTGTTGACTTTATCCTCTGCATCATCAGAAAAAGAATACCTGAAGATCTTCCCCTGAAACTAGACATCTCCACAGGTATTGGTTTCATCATGTAACTCTTGTCACATTGCATAAACAGCATCTATTTCCAGTAACAAGACAGCTTCTCCAAAAACAAACCTATGACCTGAGTTCAGTTCAATTTCTCTCCATTCTTCAGTGATATTTACAAGGAAGATATTGAGAAAAAAGCCCTACAGTCATCAACCTTAAAAATCACAAATGTGGAAAAATACATAAACAATACTTTCATAGACTGGTCACACAAATCAGTCACTCTAGATTGATTCTTCAAACACAACTCTTCAAACAAGAAAATGCAATTCACAATGTAAACAAAGACATGATCATAACTTGACCATTCTGTTTACAGAAAACCTATAATTAAAACCTAACCACCTTTCCATCAAATGTGGGAAATTCATCAATTGCTTCTTCAATCATGCCATGAAAACTAAAAGAACACAATGACACAACTTTTCAATCAACAATAATCTACCAGTTTCATCCAAACTACTCTGAAAGGCAAAAAAACATCCATACCAAGACCACTGTTATTATTATTCTAAAAATGTTACAATTCATATCAAAACTAAACAAGAAAAACAAGTGAATCTGTTACAATTTCCAAGTAAAAGTTTTCTTAAAATATTTGTGAAAGCAGAAATGTTTTACCTACAAATTTCCATTCATGAGGAGATTTATACAGCTGAGGGAATGGCAGAACCATAGTCAAAGAATAAAAACACCAAAATGCCACAAACTAATATGTACTGAACAAATCCATCCTTTTTGAACATAATTTACAAATTCTTCGTACTGCACAACAATGAAAAATAAGAACATTTAAAAGAAGGCAGAGTTCATACATTTAACCAAGAATAAATCTTCAGGACCTTTTGTGATTGAATTCCCTAATTTTCATGGCCCAAAACATCAGTATCTTACCAACAGAACTCCAAGTATTCACCAATCTTGCATGATAATTATCAAATGGAAGTATAACAATAAGTTATTTTAAATTCTCATTAAAAATACTAGAACTAGGAAACATACAAAGCCTTCTACAAAAAATAGTGAGTAATGGCACTTAAAAATAAATCACTACACACAGTAAAAAGAAAAAATATGGGGATGGATAACATATACAATTTCGTCATCGCAATTAAAACAGGAGTTTTGAATTATACAAGCAGTGATTAATATATATCTTTGAGGAATGGGCCCTTTTTTAAAAAGGGAAAATAAATTTTTTGTGTAATAGGTGAAATTCAACTTGTACATGACCTTAACTATTTAGAACAAAAGTATTTGGTACTTTTCATCAACCTAGAGTCACAGTACTGACTGCAGCCAAGATAAAAAAAAAGGCACTACTGTGACTCTATATACAGGACCAAACCTTGACAATGTCCAACAGCTATTCTTGCTGTAAAGTCACTATTTTTAAGTTTCTAAAATTATCTAAAAACATTAATATCACAGACAAAACAGCAATTTAATATCTGATATATATTAAAAAAATATAAACAATTAAAATTATTGTTTTTTCTTTCTTGCTCTGCTCTAACAGATTAATCTGAACTGGGGAATGTTACTCATTTCAACACTACAGTGTCAGTAGCTAATCTATCATATGTAATTTGCTTGATAATTCTTTTAATTAATCAAAAATTAGTGTTGTCTGGTTGGTCTCTCTCTACTGTGTTGCATAAGACCTACAAGGGCTGACTGATGCTGGTCTAATATTTTTCTGCATTCTGTCAATTGGAAAAGTTACTATTGTTTGGCTTTACAACTACTCATGATTTTTGATCTAAGTTCTATATACATAAATAGGTAAAAAAAAAATAATTAAAATTTTAACAGAAGTTATAAATTTTCCTATATCTGAAAATGTATTTTTGATATGTACTTCTCTCCACTCACGAGATTAGCTATTCTCATTTGTTGCTGCCCCCTATATGCAAATGTTTTCATTATGCATGCCACAAGCCTTCTGCTCTCCCTCTATTGGAATCAAGTAATTTCAATGTGTCTCTCATGCAAATCATCATGCATCACCTCTCCACCAATAGGAGCATAGTACACTC